TGGGAAATGCTGGCTCCAGGTGCTGCGTGGTGCCTGCGGCTGGGATGCTGGACTCCTGCTCTCACTCGTGGAATCTGATTGGGACTTACAGGGCCAGCCCTCTAGGTTTTCTCAGGCTTTTGGACTCAGACTAGAAACTATACCATTGCTGTTCTGGAGTCTCTAGTTCCCTAGCTCAAGGTCTTGGGATGTTTGTATGCTCCACCACTGTGAGAACTAGGCTGGGCATGGGCCACACACCTGTTATCCCAGCACTTGGGAGGACAGTACATTCCTGCTTCCTATTACGGGTTCAAAGTTAGCCTCTGCTATAGAGTTTGAAGCTATCCTGGGCTACATGAGACCTTGTCACAGAATTACTTTGCATGCATGCCCGGATACACGCATACACATCCCATCACACATGCATACACACTCACACGTGCAGCCTCACCACCCCATTGGTTGAGTTTTTCTGGAGAATCATGTCTAATATAGATGTTTAGAGAGGCGAGGTGCCTTCCCAGGACTATACAGATAGTAACGACCAGAGCTGGGAAACAAACACAGGTTTGCTGATGGCAGGCCATTGTAACATGCTATTGCTGGTTTCCTCCTCCTCCTCCTCTTCTTCTTCCTCTCCCTCCCTCTTCTTCTCCCCCTCTCCTCTTCCTCTTTTTCTTCTCCTACCTCCTCCTCTCCCATCCTCTCCTTCCTTCCTCTCTTCCTCTTCCCCCTCCTCCTCTTCTTTTTGGACTTTTCTAGACAGCTTTTCTCTACATAGCCTTGGCTGTCTTTGATCTGACTCTGTAGACTAGGCTGGCCTCGAACTTAGAAATACACCTGTCTCTGCCTCCAGCATACTGGGATTAAAGGTGTGCGGCACTACCACCCAGCCTATTGATGGGTTCTTAACCCCACTATCAACCTGTTGGCTCTACTGTGTGGCTCTATTTCAACTCAGGATGTACGTTAGCAGCCAAGACTCAGTTATGGCGTCTAAGGATTCTGGATACCCTGTTACCTTTGGCCCACTAGGTCCCACCATGAGCTAGTCATTTGGATGAGCACTGCTAAGCAGCACAGGTTTCATTTTTCACTTACATTTTATCTTATTTTCTTAAAGCAACAGTAACGCCATTGACTCATAAAAAATGTACAAATGGGCAGGTGAAAACTGACTTGATGTATCCTCATTTGTGGGAGACAGTAACATTTAGAGATCTGCTTTCAGAACGATTCCCTAAAACTCTACCAACAGAAACAGAGTGGCAGTGAAGGCCGCAGGCTCTGGAGCCAGATGTGGTTTGAGTTCTCACTTTACTAGAGACTGGGCAAGCCAGGGCAAGCCTCACTATGCCCTTAGGTTCCACAACTACAGAATAAGGATAATGAGTTAACCACCTCCTGGTGACACCGTGCAGAGATCACGTAATGTGTTAGCATAATACCAAACACATGCACGGTAAGTATGCAATAAGTATTAGCTCTGGGAGGCCTGACTAGCTCTGAGTAACTTCCTAAACTCCTATGAAACAAACAACAAACAACCGTCAGCAATGAGCTGGCTAGCAAAAGATTGCAATTTCTAGATGTCCTTGAAGTTCTCAGGGAGCATGATTCTGAGTTCTGGCCCGTGAGATACACGAGAAAGCACAGTGCAGGAGTTTCCTCAGGCCTGGGTGACAGAGAAGGGGGCCTGCTCCTCCCTTTTCTCCACTCTGTTTCCAGGAATGCAGAGGCCATGACCAGAGTTCCAGTAACTATCTACGACTCCAAGGACGGATGCTGCAACTGGGTTTCCCCGAACAACAGCCTGAAGCCTTTTCTGGAATATCAGCTCTGTGCTGACAGTCTTCAGACTCTTAGGAGAGAGCATAAACTTCTAATGTGTTTGCACCGTTATTTCTGGCATCTCTGTTATTCAAGGCCGAAGTCGGCTTAAGTGCTTTGGCTTGTCCCTTGTGGTAGTCTAAAAAACCCAACTAGAGGCCTGAATCCATTTTGAGTCCATTTTTTTTTTTTTTTTTTGGCAAACAAAAGCAAGATGGGGTGAACATCGAAAAGGAGCTAGCTTGTACATCTTCAAGACCTCTCCTTCCATGATCGCCCCTCTTGACTAGTAAATGTCAATCTTATGCCATGATCCCTGCTCCCCTGTTCAGAACCCTAGGGCTGGCTTTATGTTCTGTGTATCTTATCCCATTGGTCAAAGCATTACGTTGTATGTTATGGCATCACCATACAACCTAGATGTGTCGGATTCAGTTCTGAGGTGTGAGTGATTACGAGCTGCTGCTTTCTATTGTTTGCCTGAGCACCTGCATGTTACAGGCCAAAGCCTTCTGGAATGTCTGAATAAGAAGTCCGGTGAGAGCGACATTTTAGAGCAGGAAGCCCATGCGTGAAGACTGTCGCCTACTATGAGGCCGACTGTAATTTAAAATAGCCTGCTCATAAATAAGTTAATATATTTCCCAAATGTTCACATCCTGAACTCCCAGGGAGCTTCAAGGGGTTTGTGAGCAAACGAGGGACGAATATTTGTCTGACTAGGAAATGAAATAGCAACGAAATTCCCCGAGGCAATGTACTTAGTACTTTAGCGACCATTATGACATCATCAGCTGTAAAAAAAAAATTCTACACCTGATACAATCAGAAGGTTATTTGCTCCTAAACAAAATACTAGTCAGTGGTTAAACAAGACTGTATTGACTCAAGACCAATACACTGAAGGGGTTGAATGACTGACAAGGTCATTCAACAATCTCTGGTCTATCCTTCGACTCGTCCTACACTTTGATGCTTTCTTCATGTAAACTGAGTACGTAAAACGCAGGGATTTCATTTGGACAGGACAGAATTTGTGTGTCTCTGATATAAAATGTAGGACGAGACACATCTTCTTTGAAAGCGTGTGTGGTATGTGGTGTGGTGGTGAGTGTGTGTGCTGTGTGTACTGAGTGTGTGAGTGTATGTGTGTATAGTGTACATGTGTGTGTGAGGCGGGTGTGAGGAGTGAAGAAGTTCTCATTGAGGGCGCTCGCTCTGGTCTCCACTGCGCATGCTCGCATTGAAGGCGCCCTCTGGTCTCCACTGAGCATGCTCTGAAGTGAAATTTCTTTTTGTTAGGAGCTCAAAAACGATCTCCATCATTGCCTTTTCCTTCTCTGTCTTAATCGCCACACTGACTCTGAGGGGTTGAATGACTGACAAGATCATCCTATCTCTAATAACCTTTCCCAGGACCTGACTGCTTCAGACTTTATACCAATGCCGATTACAGTTCTGCATACACGCGTCAGCTGACTCCATCCCACTCCCAGGGCCTGCTAAACACCCAAGCCCAGAAGACAGAAGGAACTAGGGGAAACTAGAGAGATTTCATATCTGGTGATGATGCTTGCCAGAGACTCCTACGTCTCTGACAACACAATGGTACAAAGCTCCCGTTTGTGGCGTTGGGTCAACCAGTAGACTTGTTTGGTAAACTCTTAGTGGTGGGTTTGGATTTTCAGGCAAACAATGCCCTAGGCAGGAGAACACCATGGTAAGTACAACACAGAGCTCACTTTAAAACAGTTCAGTCGAACACAACACGTGCTCTGCCTGCGCCATTCTCAGAGGTACAAAGCTCATTTCACTTTAAACTAAGAAGTTTCTAGAAATGGTTGAAACCTTGGGTCATTAGAAATTGATTAATCACAAATCCCAGGCAGGCAACTGGCCTGTGTCATCTAAAACTCAAATTTCATGAGGTACTTAGTTTACTGCTCGACCTCATAGCCTGAAAGTTTTGCAGGCTGCACATGAAGTTTCTGAAGGAGAAATTAACATATAGAAACTATCTATTCAGCCCAAAATAAAAATTCGGCAAATGTGTTCTATGAAAACATAGTCATGCTCATACAAAATGTAACTGTGTCCTCCAATGTCATCTAGATATAAAAATCTCAGAAAGGAACTGGGGAGAGAGAGGCTCCAAAGTTAAAAATTATCACTGCTATTCTAGAGGACCTGAGTTCAGTTCCCAGTCCCCACTTTGGGCAGCTCACAACTGTCTGTAATTTCAGTTCCAGGCAATCTGACACCTTTTCTGGATTTGCCAGGCATAGGTACATACATGACTTATGCTTAAACAGATACACACATATATGCATAGATAAAAATAAATCTTAAGAAACAACCTTAGTGCATTTTATAAAAATGTTACTTTTTTAAAGGGTTAAGTAGCTAACAAACTCCTTTAGTCAGTAAGTTTTAATGGGACACTAGAAATGTGATTTATCAAATTACATTGTATACGGATGTACTTTTAGGAACAAATAAAATTTTAAATTAAGAAACATATCAGCAGTTTAAAAAACAAAGTGGTTTTTTAAAATTGTTTAATTTCTTATGATGATACACAGTACCCTAAGTAAAATGTAAGTCAAATAGAGCCAATTATAAAGCTATAAAGGTATCTCCATGTCGAAAAAGAAATTAGTGCAGTGTCATTACCAAAGAACCAATTGAACTGAAATGGGGAAGGGGCATATGGAAGAGAATGAAGAAAAAGTTAGAATATAGAATATAGATTCTATGTATTCAAGTGACTCTAGGGTCAACCCTCAATTCTGTAAAATATAAATAGACAGAAATTAAAGTCCTACAATAAAGCAACTCTACATTGCCCACATCTAAAAATGATAATTTAAAGCAAAATATTCACAAATTGAATACCTATCTCATATAATCTAAACAGGTAAAGTATGTCTTATTGAATAATCTATGTTGTGTTTCCTTAAACTATTTAACTGTGTGCGTGTGCATGCTAAGCTCTCACACACACGCATATGTCTGGTATCTCTGAATTCGGAGGGAGAGGCTGGCAGAGGAATGCGCTGAGCACACGGTTACCCGCTCCCAGAATTAACAAGAAGAGCGTCCATCAGCACCACGGCTTGGAGGAAGTTCTAAAGTGACCAGAAATATAAAGCAAGAAGCCTACAAAAGAAGACAGGCTGTGAACTCACCGTGTAAAGCTCGTTGAGAACCTTCATCAAGTCCTCGTGGAGCTGGAACGCAATCTCTTTGCTCTACAAAGAAGAAGAAATGGAGGGAAGAAAATTACCACGTGTGAGAACATTTGTTTTTAAGTATTACACATTTTAAAGATCACTAACGTAAGATAGAAGGACACATGTAACATAATAGAAACCCAACGCGTCCTTCCTTATTCCTAACTACCATAAAAGATCGTCAGCCCAACCGTGCTCTCTTACTCTGAAGAGTGTGGCCTGGCAGTCTCCCTAGGATGTTCAGGAACAAAAGAATGACAACCTGGATGGCTTCCCCACAAGTCATATCAGACCTTGTGGGAGACGGTGGGTGATGTACACAGGGTAAAGTGTCATGCTCACTTGGAAGGTGAGTTGAAGGCCAGGCATGGTGGTGCTCGCCTATACCAGTCAATACTGGCATTAGGCTGAAGAAAGAGAACAGTGAGTTTCAGGCCAGCCTGAGCCAGTGTCTCAGTCATAAGATAGAGGCCAGCAATAAGGCACATACATAACTCATACACACCCTACACACAACAGTAACAACAGGAGAATAAATGGAAAAAAAAAAGCTAAAAGGGGAGAATTTGAGCAACCAGTTTTCCTCTTCAATATAATCAGGATCTTGCGGTGACTGAGGCAGTTGCTACAGCTGCTGAGCGCATCTGCTGAGTACTGTGGAGAGGGGATCGCCATGGTCACTCCTAAGAAACTGCAGCTTAGATCACACTGAGTCCATCTGTATTGGTGAGGTTATCAGTTCAGGCCTCAACAACAACAAAAAGTCATACTGATGAGATGAAGGCTCACAGGAGGTAAAGCGGGAAGTAAAATATCACAGGAAGAAGACATCGGAGTCACGCAAAAACGCTGCACAATTCCTGTTCATTAGCTGCATTTGTCACTTGGTTTCCTTTGGATATTGGACAGCGCCACACACACCAGGCTCTGACAAGTGTCTCAATCTCTAATGTGGATTTAGGAATTTTAAATATTGCTCTGTCTGTGACATGAGTATGTGGAAACTAAGAAACACTCCTGAGCAAAATGGAGCCTACACATGGGCTAACGTAGTCAACAAGAACTCGATCCCCCCAAGTTGGGACTGTGAATGTATACAGTACAATCTCCTGTGACTTCGGCCTGGTGTGTTTTTTTAATATCAATTTTCATCCAAAGAACTGGGCACCAATTTAAACTCTCTAATGGGATCAAGGGTCACCGAGGAGTCCTGCTCAGATACCCACGTTTCAGGTAGCAAGTCCAGAAAGAAAACATTTCTTGGCTAAGATTTCCAAACAATAACAACAAAAAAAAAAATCCCATTGGTTCAATTAATCTCATCCTAACATATTTGAGGTCAGAGTAAAGGCTTAGCTTGAGGCTCCAAGGGCCATCCATGTGACTCTTGGCTAATCATCTTAGAACAAACTCCGTATGTTGTACGTTTTTACAAGACTTCAGGTGACAAGGTAGAAAAAGTCTGGCATAAGCTTTCATTTCAACTTCATCTTTCACGAGAGGCCTGTCTCCCCCCCCCCCCCGAACCCCCCGTGTGTGTAAAAACACATGGAACCCAGGTGCACACACACCCTACTGAGTTTTGATGTCCTTCGACAATCCAGGGGTTTTCTAAAGCTCATTTTACATGCTGAACAACAAGAAGGACTTTATCACTTTAGAATGGTCCTCCAACAGCAGTTCTGATCGAAGAAGTGATGTTTTAGGTATCTGGAATAGTTTTTAAAGGACACCATTACTTTGTCTTGTGACGGTAATAAATTGGGAGACACGGGTTTGACTGGAATGGGGGAGGGTAACGTGAAGTGACCCTTGTCAGGTTTCCAAGACGTGAGAACATTTCATAAACTTTAGTCCTCAGTTGATGTTTTGTCTTTTATTGTTGACTGTAATGACAAGTGTTGGCCTCCACGATTTGAAGTCTATAGGTAACCTGAGGGACCCTGCCCCAAGTTAATTCTGATTGGTAAATGAAGATGCCAGCAACCAGTAGTTAGGAAGAAGAGACATAGGCAGGGTTTCCGTTTCCCAGGCTTGAGACCATAAGGGAGGAGCAGGGGGGGACAGAAACCACCATGAAAGAGTAAGAATGTGCAGGAGAGAAACAAGGAGAGCCACAGGCCAGGAGAACAACATGGCCTAGAGGGCTGGCTAATCAGAGTTAAAGCAGCCAAGATGAAACAGTAAGGAAAAACTTGGGGTTTTCGGTGGGAGGTAGATGCTAACAGCACGGAGGGTAGACATTTGCCCAGCTATGGAGCTACTTAAGGTATATAAAAATATAAGGGCTGTGTGCGTGTCTTTCATCTGGGAACTTAAATGGTCAAAGGCAGGGAGGAATCCCATGATGGAATTTTCAAAAAATTTTTTTACAGCAGTTCCCTATCTGAGTTTGTGATCTATAAAACGAATGGAACCCTGTGATTTAAAGTCCAATGACCTCCATGGAGTAGAGGCTTCACAGAAACTGCTTGATTTGATTCTGACATGACTCCCATGGGCCCTAGGTTTATGGCACCTCCAGAAGGCTCTCAACTTTTAAAGGCCCTTAGCTGCTGTGCCCCAGCCTGGGTTTTCCCCTACACCCCTCATCACGGACATAGACTCGGCATAGCTCCTGACACTCCACATCCTTGGAGTTTCTACTGCTACTGACAATGAACTGATGAAACATATACCAGAAGCCTGAGAACTCCTGAGGCCAATATGACAAGACGCACACAGTCTGTGAACGAAGCCTTAAGGGTCTGCTCTAGTGGTCATCAGAGAGATCATGGAAAGTCGAGAGACTTCCAGCAGGGAGACCCTTAGCTACCCCTTGGAATGCAGTATCACGGTTTCTGTTTGTTCACTGACATACAATCCAAACCTGTCCTGACCTGATAGGGGAAACTCATAACTCATTGCTTTCCCTGTACCCTCATCTGTTTCCTTTTGAGATTAAATCTTACGTGGTCAATGCGGGTCTTGAACCCATGGTCACGCTCCTTCACCCTTTTGAGTGTGGGATTACAGGCATGAGTCACCATGGGGGTTCGCTGCCACTCCTGTGGGCTGCAGGGACCGATCAGGAGCTGACTGCTGAACAATGCTATTTTATGTGACCAGCGTATGTGAGGAACAGGAACTCAGAAATTTTGGTATCTAGAGATACATGGGCTGGAACAACATTGGAAGGCTATGGGCAGGTTCCTGGGCTCATGGCCTGGAAAACTTACAAGGGTCACTTCATGTTACCCTCCCCCCATTCCAGTCAAACCGGCTCTCCCATTTATAACCATCACAATGAGAAGTAATGATGTACTTTAAAGAATACTTCAGATACCTTTAAAAAAAATCACTTCTTCGAGCAGAACAGTTGTTGGACCACAATTCTAAACTGATAAACTGAAATCCTTCTTGTTTAGGTTCGCATATAAAACAACAAGCTTTTAGACAACTCCTGGATTGTCAAAGGCCATTAAAGTTGTCAAAGGCCATCAAAATTCAGTAGGGTATGTGTGGACCTGGGTTCTATTTCACTAAAAGTTGAAAATAGAAGAGACCCTTGACACTTGAGCAAGAGTTGCCATGTTTAAAAGAAAAGATGCAGATCTTAAGGAAGTAACGACTATTCCTTTTGTATAAAAAAATACTAACAAATAATACTTGCTAGGGATAAAATATTTTCTCTGCTCTTTGAGATGTAGGTGGTTAAAGTTACTTTTCCACAGAGGAAAGCCCCCCCCCTCAGTTACTCAGAGCCCCCCCTAGAAACACAGGAAAGACCACTGTACTATGCCTGTGTTAACTGAAATGATGTCCTGATGTGTTTTGGGAGGGTTCTGGGATTCTGATCCAAGGGGGAGAGAAAGTAATCAGAGCTGCAACTTAGCTAATACTTGTTAGATGGTGTGTGTGTGTGTGTGTGTGTCCATACACACACAGTCTCCAGAGGTAAATTCTATATCCAACCAAAAGCTCCAAGGCTCAGTTGGGTGAGAAGAGAGTCAATCTCGCAAGCGTGTGGAGTGTGAGATGGCTGTAGTAAGCTCCGGACAATGTGCACAGAAGGTCAATACCGAGAAACGAAAACAGTCTTTTCAAGGTCATGGGTGGGTTCTTGGTACATTCCATTCACTCATGTGTTCCAGGATACATCATGGTATTTGCTCCTTTGCCAAAGCGGATGCAATCTTCTGGGTTGGCACGAACCATCCTTGTCAAATTCTATAGCATGAAGCTGTAGGACAGGAGGACAGTTCTGAAAGAGGAAATGATTGCATAGGAGGCAGAGGCCAGGGAAACCCAACTTCTATAAGTTAGGCCCGGCCAATCACTACCCATTTGGTCTAAAATGGGGATTTCAAGGAGGACTGAGGTGGCCAGCCTTGTGATCTCATGGCTGTGTGATTTCATTCATATGCTCAGTTGTATTTTGTGTTATGTGCTTAGCACATTTTCTTGGATGTGTGATTTCTAAGGATGAAATGTGAGTTTAAGACTCTCAACACTGGAAAGGTTTTTTTTTTTTTGTTTTGTTTGTTTTTGTTTTGTTTTTGTTTTTGAAGGCTTATTACAATTGTATACTGCACAGAGCGTATGCACGACAATGGCGCTCGGAATCTCGGAAATCTGAGGTTCACTTGAGACTCGGTACCTCTCCTTGAAGCCATAGTCACCAATCCTATCTCTTTTGGCTGGTCAACTTTTCTGTATGTCATTAGACGTAAGAAAAACTGAATCAGGTTTCCTCTAACTGAAGCTATTTTAGCTTGTGATACATTTCAGGTTAGATGGCTCATCGATACCTTTGCCTCTGTTCTAGTTTGGTTTCTATTGCTGGGGTAAAACCATGCCCCAAAGCAACTAGGCACGGGGTGGGCTTACTTCATTTCTCAGCTTACAGCTCATCAGGAAGCTTCAGGGCAGGAATTCAAGCAAGAACTTGGAGGCAGGAACTGAGGCAGAGGCCATGGAGTGGGCAGTGGTGTTCACTGGTTTGCCCTCCTGACTAGCTCAGTGTACTACAATCTGGG